GAGTATTTTTTGAGTTATTTAACTTTTTTAATAGGGTAATAATTAGGGTTCGGGACTTATTGCACACAAATTATAGGAAATATGCATGCACATATGCTCTTAAAATAACCGAAATATGCACAAAAATATGCAATTGAATATTTTTTTTTAAATTAAAAATTTGATTTATTCATTTAAATTTAGACCTTCTTTTGTAATTAGTCATTTTTTGACTACAATAACACTATCAACATTATATTACTGAAGTGTATGTTCGATTTCATTTTCTTCGTCTTCTCCTACAATAAAAAAAGGTTGGGTTTTTCTTTAATATATTAAATTATTATTAAATATAAAAACGATGAATTGTTTACTTGTAAAGTTTGACTGTACAATTAGACATTAGAAAAGAGATATTGAACAACGCATGAAAAAAAAAAAAATAAAGTTAACCTTTAAAATAAATGTACTTAACGTAAAACAAAAACTGCGTAAATATGCTGTAAATAACAATTAAACTGCTAAAATTTGTCAAATATGCATTTTGCTCAGAAAACGACAAAATATGCAAAAATATGCAATTAAAATTTTTTTATTTCAATCCGTTATGACTTAAAACAAATTTAAATCTTACTTGGACTATTCTGCAGTCATTATTAAGCAATATGCAAATGCAACAAGTCCCGAACCCTAGTAATAATTATATAACCCACTTATAGGATAATTATATAGATTCATGATAATGGGTTTGAAAGGTATGAATGGGGCTGAGATAAATTTAAATGTTTAGTAAAAATTATTTTAATTATAAATATATATTGGATTATATTAATCCATCGGTATTTTTAAGAAATAATTTTTTTAGTGTAACTATTTTAATACCACCAAAAATCTACTAGTTCAAATGATCCAATAAAATATAGTAAAAATGGCGGGGGGAGTTTTTATTTGAAAAACGGAAGTACATATCGGCACAGGACACCTTATTAGGTACCTACCCGTGGTACAAAAAAATCTCAAGAATTGGAAAATAATATAGTCTTTAAGTAGCTATATTCACAAAGAAAAAATATGAATAAATTCTTTATTAAATGGAGAAATAGGGGGTGAGCACTGAGCATACCGCTTGGAGAGTCACCTTATTGTATATAAAATAATATCAATAATAATATACATTTATTTAGGAAATCAACAAACAGAACAGAATTATATTGAAAGAAACTGCAAAGACACAATCTGACGACGTTATAATATAGGTATCATAAACATCCGTGATATATATATATTGCACATTTGAGCATATTGTGTGTTAACCGCGTTATTCTGTCTGTTGAAATACATTTCAACCCCTTCGCCCGTCGCCGAGATTAAAGAAAAAGTATTGCTTTTCCGCTAACCACGCCTTTTGTTCTATACGCTGCTACCGTCGAGAGTTGTGAGGTACTATTATATAATACAACTTTGGCGGTTTATACCTATATAAATGTATATTATCGGCCACACACTTTTATTCCGTTGAATAATTCATTTTCAAAACACACAGCCGCAGCAAGGTTTGCTCAAATGCACATCGTCTCTCCGCGCACATGTATAATAATAATGTTATTATTGTACCTATAGAATCTATATAATATAATATGACCTATATATATGTGTGTGTGTTATATAGGCACACACTATACAGGCGAGATATAATTTTGGTCCAATATATATTCCGAATTTATATATTTATAATATAATACCTATAGGTACATATATGTAAAAATAATCATCCTCTCTGATGCGCTCACACCATAATTATTTTCTTAGTCAACTTTTGTTTGTATGACAAATTATTGTAGGTATTGTACGTGCAAAGTAGAGATTTTACATATTGTCATATCACAGTTGTAAGTACTTACTTTTTATAATACAAACGCTTTTTTTTATAAAAATCTTATTTTATGAAGATTTTGACTAAAATGGCGAATGACAAATAATTTTATTAATATAATATTTTAACCAACATATTTACAAACCACTCATCCGGTGGTCTATAGTTTATTAATAAAAACCATCAATAACCAGTGTTTACGCTGAACGGTGTTACCTTATACTACATTAAGCTTCTCGAGTGAATATATTTTAAATTTAAAGCTATTGTAACGTCTCCTCTTCAAATTCCGAATATTGTCTGATAAAATCGAGTGATCGATAATATATTAATATACTATTGTCATGTGTTACGTACACAAGAAAAACCATTGGGTTTGTAAAAAAGAGTTTCCAGAGTACCTACCTACGTTTAGGTATAAATATTGTATGGCAATATTAGACCTACTATATTATAATATGGACATGTCTTAATATTGTTTAAACAATTATAAAATATATTAAACCTACTAATATCAATTCAATAATAATAATATAGTATTGCGTATCCAGGGGGAGGGTTAGTAAAGTGTTGTAACACAATTTTAATTTATTTATCGTTTTCAAATAAAATTTGTCAACAATTGATTTTCAACCTCCCTCCCCCTAAAAAAAAAGTATGGTTATGCCACTGTTAGTACATTATATTATTATTCGTGAGATATTCGTCAATAATATAGAAAATAAAATAATATTATCGGTGTGCATTCGCGCATGTGCGTTGTATAAAATATAGCTTATATAGTATATACACGCATTGAAAATTTCGAGCTTTCGTATATAAAATAATATATAATATAATAATCGTTATGACTGTTATCACTACTATCCGTAGATACCTATATACAGGTATATTACCTATCGTGTATAGACGGATAACGCCGTTTTGCGAGACAATAAAACCCATAGCATTCGTATATTACACCTATATATAATATAACCCCGTGCGACACACCCTATATACTCGGTTCGTAGGAAATTGTGGATTTAACGAAAAGCCCAAAACGAGATATTCAAATTTATACAAATATTCTGCCCGGATCCGTATGGGCCGTATAGATGTATAATATATATATATACATTTACCTCCAAAATATTATATACATACCTACTGCGGTGTTGTTTTAATTATAATGATTACGACCGACAATCGAGTCAGTAGGTCTCCAATTGTATAAATTAATAACATAATATTATTACATCGCTGTTAAACAGTAAACACATACCTATATATCATAATGTTATGTTGTTATGCTTGGAATATCAGACGAGTGAACTTTAATTCGAATAAAAATATACAATTAATTAATGGATCATTTTTTTTTATCAAACATTTTTTAATAGGTACGACACATATTCATAAGTTATTAAAATAATTTATAATTGTAATGCATATAAATATGTAATAATAATTGTTTATGTCTATACGACTAATAACGGTATAATGTTATAATTATAACAGTAGGGTACTTTACCTAGGCGCCGGACGCGCTCTTTTGCAATTTTTTGTTGTATAGTCTTAACTTAGTATGTGATAAATGAAAACGATGGTGAAGTCTGAATTCAGAATGATATGACGATTGGTTTTTGTTTTGAAGCTAAATCAATTATTTAAAGTTAGATGATCCACGCATCTTCGATTAAGTCATATAATTTCAACAATTATTATTGCTTAATTTATTAGATGATAAAAATTGTTTTAACTAAAAAAAAGTTTTTTGTCTTTTTTTCACTGTGAATTTGTTAGACTTAGAATTATTATAATTTTTAACGTTTAGAAGACTTCGAGTTTTGTTTTGGAAATTTATTAGGTATTTTAATATTCTCTAGTTTTTCTATGTTTTCTGGGGCTTTGTGAAAAAGCACGTTTTTCCCGTAATTTTCCAAAATTTGGATATATATTTGGATTATAATATAATAATGTCATGTTCAATAAATGAAAACTTAATTATTAATTATATAATTTGTAAACCTGTATTATATTTTTAACAATAATTTGATACATTTTAATGAACATTCGTACAATAATATAGTCAATATTACAATATATTATACTATTTATACCACGTCGGCATTTCAAATGAAATGAAATAGCATTCCAGTCACATTTAGGTTATTCAAAGAAAAGTAATTTTCGTATTATTTTAAGTACATACTTTCATAATATTTTTCGCAAAGAAATCTGAATTCGTATAGTGGTAGTTTTTTTTTATGATGACCTATATTTTTAATTTTGCGTGCGCTGAAGCGGGATATTTTTATTTCGACGTATAAATTATGATATGAATACATTAAATTAATCGTTAAATATATACTTTGTAATCATCTTCGAAAGTTTAGACGAGCGGTGTTGGACAGAGTATAATATTTTGCGAGGTATTTCCCACTTGCATTCCCCTTTGACCTTTTTTATTAAACGCTTCCTGCCCTCCTTTGCCTACCTACCGTCCTCGTGGCGGCGCTCAACTGATAATAATTTAACTAATTAATTAATCAATATAATATTAGGTATGCAATAATGTGCTGAGGTAGCTTATGCAGTCGGCCGTCGTCCGTTTGCATAACAAATAACAATCAAAGATCATACGCCGCAACGAGGCAACGGAGAAAATAACAACTTGTATATTACAATATATTTTACAAACTGTTTATTATAATAACATTACATTATGCGTTACACCTAAGTCGAATATACATTGTATATTATTATAATCACGAGCAAAGCTCATCGACTGCAACTTGGCGATCGATCAGCGGCGATAGTGGTCATAACCGGAAACGTTTTTATTTCGTGCAATCTGTACGTACACGTAAGTACCTATACCTGTCGACGTGATAATATCATAATATAATGTTTTATAATATCATAAATCACATCGCAGCCGAGAAGTCGAATCACCGTCGTCGTTGGCGAGTTGTAACCGTCCACTCCGTCAGTCGCAACTATATACCAGCAGCTGCAGGCTGTACGCGCATCGCGTCAGTAACCTAAATATACCACTGTACCGGACTAGGTATAATAACCGTGGCCCGCTCCTCTACTTGCGACCGTGATATAATGATAAAAATAATTTAATTTTCAGATATTATATTTTAGTCGATCGGCCGTCATGGATAAACGAGATTTTGCCGACGACGCGACGACGAACTCGTCGGACCGCAAACAACCGCTCAAGACGACCGTCAGCATGCCGATACTCGGCCAGAGGACTGCAACGAATAACGACGAAAACCGTCGCGAGAGACGTCCGCTGGCGGGCAAAATGGACGAGGTGTCTGCACTGCCCGACGGCGGAGACGACGATGATCAGCCGAGACCTGCCCTGACCAAGTCGACGAGCTGCTACCAAGTGCAGCCGTCGTCCAACAGCAAACCGTCCCGAGCCCACGACCAATGAGACTTTTATCCGGCGACTCGTCGACGTGATATCATAATTATAATAGTATAAAATATATAGGCATATATTATTACGATACGATGTATAAACGACGAGAGAAAATAATTATATCAAATTAATATAATATTCGATATACCTAATATATTATAAACCTGTAAGCAATAAAGGTTCGACGTACAAAATCTGACGAGTTTTTATTTATCCCCCGTTTCCCGGAGGTATCCTTCCAAGGACGGCCATCGGCGGGGACATGGTGACCTACATTAGGTACCGACGACCAATGGGACTTTTGACCGGCGACTCGCCGACATGATATGAAATAAATAGGCATATATTATTACAATACGATGTATAAACAACGAGAGAAAATAATTATATCATATTAATATAATATAATATATATAACCTGTGAGCAATAAAAAGGTTCGACGAACAAAATCCGTCGAGTTTTTATGTATTTCTAAGCTCCGCCGTTTCCCGACGATATCCATCCAAGGACGGCCATCACTACTCCAACCCCACCCGTTTCGTATTTCACATGCATTTTTTCACGCTTTAAATTATACAGAATTGAATTTTCCTGGTTAACCGACTAAGCTCAAATTTCGGTAATGGTCTTACACATTTATTCGAGTGCTAAATATATTTGTATTGAAAAATGTACGAATTTGAAATGGGTGGGGAGATGTGTACGAACCATTGTGTTCGTGGAGGGTACTTTTATACTTTTATACAATAGTACAATACGAGAAGTATAGTAGCCTATAGGTATAGGTACCTACGGATCCGGCTTGTGTAGGTATTATAGAGTAGAATCCATCTATATAATAATATTCGTACTATGCAGTCAATACCTATGGTTGTAACTATTGGTAGGGGGGGAGGGGATCGAAGGGCTTAGCCCTAAAAATACAATTTCCCTACCAAAAGCAACAACTGTAGATATCGCTCGACCAATATAATCAAAAAAGAAGAAAAGCGTAGGTTGATTTTTTTATTCAAATGGTTTATAAACCACTATTAACGCACTATATAGATATAATAATATAGGTAGTATATGGTCTATGAAACCAAGTACAACCGTAAAAATGAATTATAAACTACACCTATACTAAGAGGTTAATTTTGAACTATTTCCGAATTGGTCGCGTTTTGCGCAACTATATAGGATCGGACATCTATTATATCATTGTATATAATATTATTATAATATAGTTAGGACAGTTAGGTGCTTGGCAAACACATTTTTACCTGCAGCTGTTATCGTCAAACTTGACTTTGAGGTGGACGACACTATTGACAGACAACGGACATTTAACCGATGATAGATTGCTTTAATAATTATTGGCCGATTATGTATTAAAATAAGTATATTATACACTTATCTCGTACCTACGTAACGAACGTTCGTCGCGTTTTAATGATCCGAAGACTGGTCGACCTCTGTATAGCTGTAGCCCACGATTCGAAATATTATATTATATTCGCTTATTCGAGACATTTCACGTTTAATAATTTAATAATTTTCATCTGTGCGGCAACTTGGCAGCACGGCCAACCTGGTTCACGGTGGCACGAAGTGTACCGAAAAATATTACAATAAATAATAATATTTCATGTCTGTGTGATAGCGCAATGACAAGTGAGACGTCCTATTTTCCCGGCGCCACCATCTCGTATAATGTATATAGATATACGATAACACATTAGGTATACCTATAATACCGATAAAATCATTTTGGCAGCGTGCAACGTAGCCAGACTGCCAGCTAGACGGTACCCATTTATTAGTTGTATGTATAATGACTGTGCAAGTATTATGATCGTCAAATTTAAATTGAATTACAAAACGTTTTTTTTTTTTTTTTAATTTTAATATTCTTCTTTTTAGATAAGGTTCAGTATAATATCGAGTATCCGCAAGAGAAGGGTGCGTACTACTCTGTATAACTTTCAGTTACCTACATTACGAGCAATACCCTATACATATTTTTGAATTCTGGACACCACGAGCCTAAACTATATTGGATAACAAATTAATATAACTTACCTACGATTGTTTAACTCTTGTGATTTGCGCATGCGAAACAACTTCACTGTTTCCATGTACCTACCTTGTTTTCGTGAACAGACGGTAAAGTCTTGCAGTTTCCAATATTTTCTACACTCATAATATAGTATAATTTGTGTTACTATTTAAAAAAAAAAAACAAATCGAATCACAAACGATGTTTTTCTCATTAAATCTTATTCACCTACATAATAATATTATCATTATTATATTGTATTCTAGCACTCACAGACAAACGTGTGAAATTTATAATATAATAAATTAAATACTTTATTCTAGCGCATCAATATAATAAAATATGAATATGAATACCGCAACGCTGAGATAACGTTTATAATCATTATTATTATTTACTAGGTACCTACCTCTTTCTATTACTATATAGTATATAGACATGCCTTATTATTATTATAATATTATTATTGATTATATGTGTAATGTGTATTTTACAATCATAAGTAGTTATATTCCTCTTAATAATATTGATAAAATTGTAATATTTATGTCGTAATCATAATATTATATTGGTACAGTGGTACACATTGATCTGTGGTTATCTGTGGGTAAGTTAAGTACCAGCTACAGCTTGCAATACATTAATATATATATTATAGAATTTAATGCATTTTTTTTTTACCTAGGTACATTAATTAAATCAAATCAATTAATTATACAATTTAATCAATATTATTTGGTTTAGCATTTATAGTATTATTAGATTTAACATTATTTGATGTAATGTCTTATAAGTTATACATATTAAATAATAATGTGTAAACGCAATGAATGTTTTGCCACTATATGTATACCAAGTCCTGAATTTTAATTTTATTACATTTTTTTTTAAAGATTTAATATCGGAAACTACGATGATATTTCAAAACGTTGTAGCAGTGGCGAAGTCAGAATTATGCAATTGGGGAAGAGGGCTGATTAGGGGAGGCTTAACTAGGATCCCTGATAAGTCTGGTTATATGCTAATGCGTGACTCGTGGGTGTATATACAATTTTACTGTCTCTCAGTAAATGTCATTCAAATTTCTTACGGAATACGTTAACTAAACAAAATTATAATTTATAAGCGACGTATAACACGGCGGTAGGCATTTTAAAATTGTTCTAAAGTTACGTGTGGACCCACTTAGCACCCCTTCCCTTGATACGCCACTGCTCTATATAAGGGTACAATACTATATATATTATATTGTGACGCCAGGAGGATAAATAAAGCCGGCGGTACCTATATAAATACAAAATTAAAATAAAATACTTACCTAATATAATATTATACGAAATACAAACTATATCATAAAATACTTTATACTTTAATGTTTTTTAAATATCATGGCCCAGCGACCAACGCGGATTAAAATATATCAGCGGACAACAGGAATAAGCAGAATACCTATGCATTTATTCAAAGTGTATATCCCTATATACTTTTACAGTTACGCAGTACGCACTCGATCAGGGATACAAGCAAGTATTTGATATTATATACTTTTAAAACATATGAGTGTATTTTGTGTATTTTTCAGTAGCTCTAAAGTAAAACAAATTGTATACCTATACTTTTTTTTTATTAATATTGAATGTTCGTTCACCAATCTTCCATCTTTCAAACATATAACTGTATAACCACACAGAGGTATATAGCACTTGCGATATAGTTTTCATATAATTCTCGTAAAAGCTCAAAAGTTTATCTGTTTTCACATGATTTGGCATAAGAATGGCATAAAGATAATGAATAATAAAATATATTATGACATATAGGTTTCGACATTCGATGCCATAACTGCAGTTTAACGATATTATATGGAGCTCTACAAAATGTGTCCACTCCTAAGAAACGCAGATTTATATTTTATTCATTACTTTATAGGTCGTACGCTATATTTTATTGATGATTAAGCGAGCACATACATTTCAGTGCAATTTTTTTATTAAACTTCCTAATTAGAGATTTTATTTTATTGAACTTTGTTCATGAGAAGTTAAGACTATTTTTTAAATATATTTTGAAATTAAATTGTTTTGATTACAACATTCTCTTAAAGTTTCAAATTCCTGAAAATTGAAAAATAAAAAAAACATGAGCTCTACACGTGTTTGCAAATGCATTGATATTAGTCAATATGTAAGTTTATCATATCAGCTTATTATCGTGTACACTGTACAAGAATTATAATTTTCCACGAGCGTTTTACCTCAAAAAACAAATAACCGATCCTGGCCCACTTCTGCAAACGTACCTACTATGGTACGATGGAAATCGCTAAGTCGATTTCGCAGCGATTATCCGTTAAGAGGACGTGTCACCCAAAAAAATCACTCGAAAAATTCCTTTAAAAACATGTTTGCGCGTTCCAATAATATGGGTTACTGAGTGGTTTTATCATAAAAACACCTTTGAACAAAATTGTAGAGGAGAATTTTATCTGGTTCCGTAAGAAGCCCGATTTTTGAAATTTTCATTTCTAAGTCCTAAAATTAACTTCCGGAAAATGAAAAAAAAGTGTATTATTAATCATGATATATTTCATGATGTTTTAAAGATATCAAAAATCGGGCTTCTTACGGAACCAGATAAAATTCTCCTCTACAATTTTGTTCATAGGTGTTTTTACGATTAAACCACTCAGTAACCCATATTATTGGAACGCGCAAAGTATGTTTTATAAGAAAACTGCAGAAAATTACGCTCGGCAAGTGCTGCGCCCGTAGTCAGTGGCAGCGTTCGATACTAGCTGTGCATACCACCACCCCGCGCGCATTAACGGCGGTACCGCACCATGGTCAAAACAGGTTCTCTATCGCAGCCGACCGCCCGTGCATAGTTTATAAATAACCAGATAAGAAAATGATTATTATATTTGTGACAAATAATATTTAATTTGGTTCGATTTTATATTTTGTATTCGTATCC